CCACTCGGACTCTGAACGACCTGATCGAGGAGGTCTGAAGGAACGACCTCTGCTGCGCTGGAACTGGCCCCTAGATGGATCACCACTGAAACTACCTGAACCTCGAGGCCTGCATTTGCAGATATGAGAATTCGTCATTCTAAGTTTAGATTTCGTCGATTTCATCATGACAAATCTAGATTTTGCATTTGCAGATATGAGAATTTAAATTCTCGAATTGGTGCTAGATTTCAATGGCAAATCAAGATTTTGAAATTGCAGAGATGAGAATTCTGCAATTCTAAGTTTAGATTTCATCATGGCAAATCGAGACTTGGTGCATTGTCACGGCAGTAATGAATCGTAGCTCGATTTTACACTTCTTTGTTGTATTTTTCTTCATGTTGCGCACAACAATTCTTCTATAATTATTCCTGCAAAATAAAGTTAAAAATATGGAGAAAACATGATAATTTATATGTTATTATGAGAGAAATTATGTGGTTAACATATGGTAAAATGCACTTACCAGTGCCATGATACTTGCATATTTGGTTGGGATTTCTCCGGGCCGGATCGATCTGTAAAGGTCGAGGCCATCTAGTATCCTTGATACGTCCGATGGCTGATACGATGGCGGATGCATCTACGTTGAAGTTATATTCCGATAGTCGTGGCGCTTCTTTAGGCCTGGCATCCCTGTCGAAACCACCCTTGCTCACGAGTCCTAGTGAACTTTGACCTCGATCATTTCTCCTCTCATTCTGTGTAAGGTTTCACCCAGACCCGTTGCCTCTACGGTCTCCGTTGTACGGTTGATATCGATCTCTATTCGACCTTGGCTCTTGGTCGATATCCTTCTTGATTCTATCCACGGGCCTGTTAGGATAAACGGACCCAGAAGGAGTCCCCAGTTGATCATCATCGACCCTGATCTTCGACTGATATCGATTATGTACATCGGCCCAAGTGACAGCTGGATACTCGATCAAATTTTATGTTGAGACCTTGAGTGAAAGCTTGAACAGCCCAATCGTCGACGACTGGTGGCAAATCCGTTCTCTCCGTTTGGAACCAAGATACGAATTCCCGGAGCATCTCGTTGTCCTTTTGCCTTACCTTGAAAAGGTCTGACTTTTTTGTTGCAACCTTAATGGCTCCAGCGTGTACCTTTACAAAAGAATCTGCAAGCATAGCAAAAGAATCAATAGAATTAGGCGGTAAATTACAATACCATATCATGGCACCCTCCGATAGAGTCTCCCCGAATTTCTTCGGCAGTACGGATTCAATTTCGTCATCTTCCAAGTCATTTCCTTTGATGGCGCACGTGTACGAGGTGACGTGTTCCTTTGGATCAGTCGTCCCGTTATACTTAGGAATCTCGGGCATACGGAACTTCTTGGGGATGGCTTCGAAGCCGCACTTAGGGGGAAAGGTTTTTCTACTAACTTTTTAAAATCTAGTCCTTTCAATATAGGTGGTGCCCCCAGGATTTGGTCGACCCTAGAGTTATAGGTTTCCACCTTCTTATCATTTTCCTCGATCTTCTTTTCCCCTGTCTCGATCCACTTTGTCAATTCTTCGAGCATATTTATAATAGCAGGATTGGTCTCGGTTTCCTTCTCGTTCGATTTTCTCGAAGCCGATTCGACCCTGTGTATAACTTCTTGGGATGGCTCGAGTTCGACCCTGCTTGGCGTTTGGTTCTGATTTTGGAGCTGACCTACTGTTGCCTGTTGGGCCTGCAACATTTCGAAGACTATCTGCAGGCTGATCCCGCCATCTTCACCACCGTGTGCATTCTGAGTAGCTGATCGGGTACCCCCACCGACGCTGCTTTCTGGATCGACGACCAAATTTCCATTGATGGATACATGCGAACTGACGTCGATCGGATCTACAGCCGGAACTCCATCGAGGCCAACAGGGGGTACAACATTTCTTGGTGCAATGTTCTCATTCTCGCCGTGGTAGCAGAGATCATTGTCAATGTGTTGAGGTGCTGAATGAGAGTTTGATATTTTTTAATCTTGTAATCAAAGACACCTCAAATAGAAAGCGTAAAATAGTGTGTATTACGAAAATTTGTACCAGGCAATCACTATTTTCCTTAGCCCCACGGTGGGCGCCAAACTGTTTACCCTAAAAACAGAAAACAATTGAATTTATACTGTGGTTTTAAGGACACGTGATTTGCTTAGCACAAATTAAGAGAAAACGTAAACTGACAATGAAATTAACCGCAAATGTAAATCAAACAAACCAAATGAAATGTATAGCTTTGATCCTTGAGCTAGGTTGCCTTCGAATCAAGTGAATATTTGTCAGAAAGTATGAGAAAAGTAACAGGAATATTGAGAGCTTAAGAGAGAGAGAGAATATATTGCTTTTGTAACGTGAATATGATGTCTTTTACAAATGATTGGACCTCCTTTATATAGTAGGGGAGTCCTACTCTTGGTACAATTCTAAATACAGTAAGTAATCCTATGATTGGCTAATTAATCGGTCTCCTCTTGATACGTGCCGGAATTTGCGCTGTGATCCTCGCCCGATTGCGGATATTACGTCTTTTCGTTATTCAACCCGGTAAACTACCCTCGATCTCTATCATGTTCGGTCCCGATCTTGGTCGGTCTCGATCTTAATGAGCTTGACATTCTAACTTTGCATCATATTCTGATATAAATCGAAGTCGATCTCTGACTTATCATGCTCCAGCCTCGATCAATTTCACAAAAAAGGGCAAGCCCGATTTTGACCGTACACACATATACATATTAATAAATTTAAGACTATAAATTTTAAAAGTTTTCTAATCATACAAATAATATTATTGCACATTTAAACTTTCAAATTTTAAAAGGATTTACTTTTTCGTGTCAATTCAAACTATATCAACATAAGTTAATAGAGTCATATTATATTAAATTTTTTGACATAAATTTAATTTGACGAGAACTTTAATTAGTTCACAATTAATTTTTTGTCGCGAGGTAGCCGGTAGGTACGGACGGCATGATTGTCATCGTGCATTCACGCAGTCTCTCGGGTATGCTAACACAACATTCCTCAAAATCCAAAAAGGTATAGAACTGCTATAAAATACTTAATAAATATTTCAAACTATCCCTTTATAATCCTCTCAAACAAATCTCCCAATCAGTTTTCTTTTAACTCTTCTCTCTCTTGCATTCTGTTCTTTAATAATTCATCCGCCCCTTTAGATATGAGATTCAAATCTCTGTTTAATCGCAAGAAGAAGAGCTTGCCCAACTCGAAAACCCCATCGCCGTCGAGTTCGCCGCCGGTAAACTCCCCGGCCAAGATCGAAGAGGAGCTAGAACAGGTGTTCAGCAAGTTCGACATGAACGGCGACGGAAAAATTTCATCGTTGGAACTGGGTTTCATCATGGCTAGCCTAGGAAACGCCGTAACGGAAGAAGAATCAGTAAACATGATTAAGGAAGTTGACGCCGACGGAGATGGGTTCATCGATTTGCAAGAATTCATCGAACTCAACACCAAAAATATCGATTCGAATGAAATTTTGGAGAATCTTAAGGAAGCTTTCTCTGTGTTTGATGTGGACAAGAATGGATCCATCTCTGCTGATGAGTTGCAGAACGTGATGAAGCGTTTAGGTGAAGAATGTTCGCTGGAAGAGTGCCGGGAAATGATCGGCGGCGTTGATTGTGACGGCGACGGGATGATCGATTTCGAGGAATTTAAGGTTATGATGGTTAGGGGCTCGAGGTCTGATCTAATGGACTCTCGTTGTTAAACATTCATTTTTGAAGATGAGGAGGTTCGAATTCTTTATTTGGATTTGGAAAAGAAAAGGAAAGAGTTGTAGAGATTTACTTTTATTTTGTTTTGTTAGAAACTACTGTGTTATCAATTTAAACCAATAGGGAATGGTGGATTAATGAGAAATTGAGGACGGAGTATTTTGTTATGTGCCAAATTTTAAATAAAGCCTCGACCCTAAAATAAATTACGTCTTCTCTCTAAGTATACACTTGTATTTGCTACTTATATTGCCACTTTTAGCATGTGTAAGGCTAAGTTTTTTATATCATGTTTTTCTAATTCACCATGTACTTATTTTTAAGCTCAATGTTGTTAATCCGTAAAATACTATATTTGAATTTATACCGTGGTTTATAGACAAACGAACCGATTTGATCCAAAAAATAATAAAGAAATAGGGACAAAGATAAGATTAACGACTGAAATTAAAGGAGATAACAAGCCTGACTCTGAACTCGGTCTTTCCGAGAGCAAAAGTAAAAGCAATGATGAAACTGTTTAGATTGAGTGTAAAATAATAGATTATATGGCTTTTGTGTACAGAATGTTTCATATCTTACAATGCTAATCTTGCTATTTTTAGCCTCTACATAAGGGGACAAGATCCGAAAATCAAGCTCCTCTTGAATGAGAATAAAAACGTTATTGATGGGTGCATCGCTGGCTTTGAATGCAGATATTCTCCGTAATGGCTGCTCATTAAATGCTACTCAATGTCAAACCTTTGAATCTCCATTATCGGCTATGTTCCCTTCAGAATCGATCCCGTACCGGTTACACCCTTCGTACCCGATATTAATTATTAGCTGACTCATCTTTTGCCTGTATTCGATCCATGTATCATCTCACCATTTGACCACTTATTATCAACCAATTTCACTCATACAAATGTTAGTAGCATATATTTGAATTTTTAAATCATGTACACATGCATGTTATGTGTCGATATTACTAGTAGCAAGTAAGACAAGGAACCGTCCTACATCTTGATATTTTTCTTTTTATAATATGTACTGAAATTGTTTATACGTCATTAATGATATTAATATATAAATAAATTAAACTTTAACTTATTATAATCTTCAGATCTCTGATTCTTAGTTTGTATTACAAGTGTAACGCTACATTTTATTTGTTAATTTTATACTTGATCACGCCCAAATCTAGTCCTAAAAAGGATAAGCGGTCGCTGTAAATATAATCCGGTCTAAAAGTCCGGGTCGAATCCCACAGAGAACTAAGGCTTAGCTACAGTTGTTCACTATCACCAAGAATACAAGCTTGAACAATTCTTAACTTATAGATATTAAGATTCTTGTGTTTAACTAACTGACTAACAAATTAAAATAATAAATTAACACTAAAGATACTATAGGTTGGAGAAAAGATTAAGGAGGTCTTGAGTTATGATTTCCCCAATTGTCAGAATCCTTCCCGCTATGTCTTCTATAATTTCGCCTAAGTAATCTCTACCGATCATGAGCGCTCTGCGTGTTGTAATTCTCTCCCGAGTAATTACGACAATTTACTGGACATACTCTCCTGAGTTACGCTAGCTGGCTTTAATTACAGCTCACTTAGATCGCACCCAAAGTTTCGTTATCCATAATCCCACCTTTAAACCCTTGGTTATTGATTCCTCACATATGTCGGGAGTGATGTTGTTCAACAACTACCTAATTATGTACTCTCTCCCGAGTAATACATACTAAATAGGCACGGCTAATTGAGGACCCTTCAATCAACCACAAGAATAATATAGTTGAACAAATAGAGAAAATACTACGGCTCAATTATATAAAAACATAACAAGAACTTATACTACAAAAGGTTCCATCAAAACCCTAGATAACAAATTAGCTATTCATAATAGTATGTAAAACTACAATACTAAAAGTCATAACCAACAATGAAAAATAGGAAGAGGAAGGAAAAACTCGTAGAAGAATTTCCCGCCTTGCTCCTATTGTGTCTCTGCCTCCTTAGGTCGAATCTGTGTAAAAAATATGTCCAACCTCCACAAAATACCATTTTTTCATGTATATATACCAAGTAGGGTTGGTCCCAAGCAATTATACCTTCTCCAATGTGAAAGAGGACAAGTTTCCAGGCCTGGACTAGCGCGGGCGCGCTAGTGACCGCGCTAGTGGCCGCGCATATTAACAAGTGCACTGCCTCAGTCCGCGACCAGGTCTGCGATCGCGGTTTCGACCGCGTTTTTCACCCTGTTCCGTTTGGAATTTGAAAAAACGTAAAACATGAAAAGTTGTAGCCCTTTGAGTTAGCTTTCCAACCATATATTGTGGAACAGATGGAGTTCTGAGAAAAAAGTTATGTGCATTTTACTAGACAGTGCACAATATGCCTACTCGATTCTTTGTTTGTTCTAACTATCATCCGTTGACCCCCGAACACGATCCCGACTTAATTCCTTGAGCTCTTACTCAGACTTCAAAGCTCCAAATCACTTGAATTCATTCCATAACATCTACATAGCTCGGAATCACTCCTACAAGGCATAAAACACACATTTAGTGCATGACACTAGCGATTAAAGCTCAAACTCAATTAAAGTGCAGTAAATTCGAGTGTAATAAGCGATTAAAATACGCAATTATAGCCTATCATCAACACCCCACACTTAAACCATTGCTCGTCCTCGAGCAATCAAACTACACTTTATATAGACACGACCTTTTTTTAAATAATTCTCCTAACTCATCACACCAAGAATATTTAAAATAGACTAAGCACAAAAGCGTAACATCTTCACCTCAAGGTTTGACTCACAAGTACCACGCATTATTAACAACTCACCTACTTACTCTAACATAGAGATCACTGACATTACCTTTCCTTCATGAATCAAGTGCCCTCACACAACAAAAGAGAGTAGTTCCACACAATAAAATTTAAGAGCACTTAGGAACTCAAGATAGAAAGAATTCACTCACTCTTAGAAATAACATTCATATGCCACAAAAGATGCACCATAGGCTTGCCCGTAGTGTACTACTCTACTAATCGAGCTTATTCAGTCTAGGATCAAGTAGGACTTTATTTGCTTCTAATGTAGGCTGCGGGACGGGTAGGATACATTTAGATATAAGAGTGACTACACCTCCCTAAGCACTTTAATACATTATACTTTAACATTCAAAACCCCATACTTATGTCAAACCAAACTCCACCTTCACATCAACCTATATTACCCCATACTTCTTTAAGCACAATTACATCAAGAGTCACCACTTATCAAGGAATTTTTTTTTACAGCAATACAACTATTTTTTTTTCAATTCAAGTGGCTCTTACTTGTTCAAAATAGTGCACCTTTCTCCTTATTTGATTAGTTCCACTCAAAATCCAAACCAACCACCCTACACTTTAACTTTTACAAAGTTCATAAACAATTAAAGTGCTCATGAGAGGTTACAATGATTCAAATAGATGGTTAATTCAAACAAATGGGTAAGTCTTGTAACGTGGTTGCCAAAGAAACAGGATTACAGGCTCAAAGGGGTTAACTACGATACGTAACAATTAGGCGGATAAAATATACATATCTGGCTCAGCAAAGAGATGTCTATATCACTTCCAAGACTGAACAAAACTACTATTTCGCTTTGCAAACACACGTGGCAAGTTCTAGGCATCAAATGCACGCACAGAATAACACAAAACCTTACACACATATATGGCACATAACTCATTCAGGATTGGATTCATCAAGACACTCTAGTCAAAACAGTTAAGCAAAGTTAAAATCATACAATTTAAGGTACTTATACAAGAGTCAAAAACTGAGCCTAAGCGTCACAGCCAGAGTACTTACTATTCTCAAGGCATAACAAAGTTAAGAGATATTGCTTCAATTCAAAACACAACACAATGGCTCCTACTCCCCAAAAAAAAACTATCTACACCCGTTTCAAACAAAACCCTTGGAAAAGAACCGCGACACAAAGAAAAACCAAGGGGGAATTACTACACTACCTACAAAAAAAAAATTTTTTCTTTTTTTCTTTAGACTTAAATCCCTTGAGAAATTTGTCTAATAGATCCATCGTCGGAAAAAGTCCAATCTTTTCTATTTTAAACAAAAAAAATATTCAATTAAACTAACATAACTAAAATAGCATAAAAAGTCATCCAGACAATCTCCTCACCCCACACTTAAAATTGTGCATTGTCCCCAATGCACACACATACATACAAGAGGGTAAAAGAAACTCCCTGGCATGCCAAAGGCCGAAGCACTAGCATCTCATGGGGTACTCAGACTTCTCCCAAGCCTGGTCCTTCATGTGGGTACCTCACACTTAGTTCCAACCATCCAGTTTGCTGTTGAATTCTTCCAATAGCTTTGCTTTCCATGCTCCTAGAAAATCAAAAATCGATACTACAAAAATAATACAATAAAAAAAAAAAAAAAGAAAGCAGTAAAGCTGGGTTGCCTCCCAACAAGCGCTTGATTCAACGTCGCGGCACGACGCGAATCACTTTTTGCCTCCACCTCGAGCTTACGAATTGAACCCCCAATTTGACATAACATTTTCGGCTATGCTCCAGGGGTGGAGGAACAAATATAATTGTCCCAAGAAACCATTGTACTATTCTACACTTCTTGGCTTTTCGATGAGGTATGTAGTCCTGTCTTTCTAGCAAGAAAAATACCAGAATGTAGGCCCCTTGTTCCTCATTCCTTGACTTCTCAATCGGTTCGGATGACTCTATTTCCATATCGTCATCCAAGCACAATGTAGAAAAATATTTGAAGTGAGGACCAATGCGCTCACACACATGAACTTCAGGACTTTCAGCATCCTCAACGTCAATGATACTAGAGTCAACAAAATTTATATCCTCAAAGTCCTTGGCTGGCTCTAGTCTCACTTCTTCAACATTCACATCCTCAAATTGTAGTTGGCTAGGTTGTTGATGTTCTACTCTTACCTCCCGAATTAACACCTCAAATTCATGCTCTTCTTGGCTACTATCCTCAATATTGGCTTGTTGAGCATTAAAAGCTCCAACCACTTGACTCAATTGAGCCTCCAACTTGTGAATAATTGCCTCTTGCCTTTCTATCTGCAATTGTTTTTCATTATTTTGTTTCAGAAGGCACTTTAACATATCCTTGATCTCCTTCAGGTCTGCATCCCCAGGTTCTTTGTTCTTGTTAACTTCAGACGAAAAGGTAGAACCATCATAGTAAGGGGTTGGGGGAAGATAAGAAATATAATCACAACCATAAAAGTGCCCATTTTTATCACCATACATATCACAAACATTCCACAAATAAGATTGAGTTGGTGCA